CCGCCAGCCATGGCCCTGGACCTGGAGCGCTGGTGTGGGCCCCGCATGCTCACCCACCAGCTTGCTGCCACTTCCACCCCCACCTGCCCCCAATCCCCTTGCCGGCCACTTTCCTTTCTTCCCACCCACCGCCACCTTTCTGGCAGCACGTGGTTACCAGCTGTAAGGCCAGGACTGCAGAACGCACCAGGAGCCAGCCTGGCTACTGCGGTTCCCAGCTGGCTCCTGCTGCTGCTGGCCCTGGCCCCAAGGCACTGCATTCCTTCCTGCCCGCTCACTGCCACTTCCTGCCTTCCGCCTGCCACTGCTACTCTTCCCCTGCTGCTTCCCTTCCTTCCCCACCCACCTCTGCCTCTCCCCGCTGCCCCACTGGCTGCTCTGGTGGTGTGCGGTTCCTTGCTGCATGGCCAGGACCACATGAAGCAGCAGGAGCCAGCCCAGCCTGACCCAGGCCCTGCAGTTCCCAAGTGCGTGCCCAGGACCACACGACACAGAAGGACCCAGCCGGCAGCTGCAGGGGCCTGGCCGGGCTGACTCCTGATGCATCTTGTGGTCCTGACAGTGAAGCCAAGAACTGCCTGGTGCCGGCCAGGCCAGTCTGGCTCCTGCTGCACTGGCAATCTTCCCCCTGTCCCATTCTTATTTGAGTTTCCCTCTCAGACACAGGGAGGGTGGGGAGACAGCCACAGGGTTCCAGGCCAGAAGCCTCTGCTAGGCAGAAGCGTCCAGTTTGGGGCTAGGGGTAGGGTGGGATGGGGCCAGGCAGGCCCTGCTGCCATCACCAATGGGTCCTGTTGCTGGCTTCTGCTGCTGCTAGTACGTTGTCATCTTTGACAGGCAGCCAGAGGTAGACAATTAATTTTCTAAATTATTTAGCAGCCCCACAGGCCGGAACAGCCTGGTGGGCTGGATTCAGACTGTGGGCCATATTTTGTCTGCCCCTGGATTAGGGTGTAGATATGTAGTTGTGAACATGACTGTCTCGGACGGATGGAGCCGACTCGAGATGATTCAAATATTACTCGGTCGTTTGGGCGGGCTGGTGAATGGAGAGGCAGACACAGCTTATTGGTTGCAAAAACTTTACTTACGCCGCTTGTAGCTGCGACGCAGGTGGTCCGGTCGCTTGAACAACTATGTCAGTTGCTCCAGCTGGCGAGGCTCAGGCCAGCTAATCCGTCCACAAATTAAGCCGGCAGGGAAAGGGTACGTCGAGGATTGCGCTTGGCGACGGGGAGAAGAATCGATAGGTGATCAGTCTATCGATCTGCTCAGCCGCAAGTCAGATCTCTTTAGAGGCACTCTGCAGCGTGCTCAAAGTTCTCCAACTTGGGCGGAAGTCGCACGAAATTTTAAACGGCTAGCAAGCCAATTACTAGCCGCCACGTAGGAATAATTTAGAACTGGCCAATAGCGGAACACAAATTTGCATTCAAGTGGTGGGAACTCTCTTGCACCGGGGTTTTTCTGTTGCAACAAAAACCTTTTGCTGTGCAAGAGGCTCTCGTGGCGAGAAAATTCCATCGTGCCGAGGCACCAAAATCACTGGGTTGTGACAATGACCAGAATGATTTTTTTTCCTGTCACAGACAAGGCTCTGTTGCAAAATCTTATGTGTTTTAGTTACTGTAACCACCAATTACTATAAGCAAGATTAGTATGTATGTTTCTCAGTCCCTTCCATCCACTGGAACATACAGCCTTGTCCATTCATTAAGCCACATGTGCTCACCCTCTAGCCTGTGAGAGGGATCCAGCCTGTGGAGCCATATCAGCTGGTTCACAGGGTTCCTCATGAGTCTGAAAATTTTGCTGTGGGGGAGTGGTGGCAGGTAATTTTGCTGTGGGGGAGTGGTGGCTGCTGTTAAAATGCCAGACTGATGGGGGAGCCCTGTGGGCCAGATAGCGTCCCCCTGCACACTAGATTGGGTGTGTGGGATCAACTGGAGCAGTACAGGGCTGAACCAGGCAGCACAGGGCAGCATGGGGCCAACTGGGGAAGCACAGGTGCAACTGGGGCCTGGTCCTGCCATGGAGGGCCTAATCCAGCCCACAGATTGGCCCTGTACCATTTTTCCAAGCCCTGGGACCAAAACATTGAGCACCACTGCACTAAGCCATTAGCTCTGAGAAGGTTGCTCATGGCATCTTGGTGCCATGTACCCATCACAGGTAGCAACTGACTGCAATGTTACGTACTTGATTGTTTGTACGGCTTGAATGGTACAGCAACCCAAGTCCAAACCCCAACTACACCTCTGCCCATTGGGTTCTGTGCCTCTGCTACAACCCATGAAAGTAAACTGACCTTCCAGAATGTTCCAAAAGCAAATAATATGAGACCTTTTTAAAATGAATTAATTAGATAAGGCCCTCAGAACAGCCTTCTAATTTATCATACCTGATATTGTGAGTAGCAAACGTTTGATAGTGTAGCTAGAATCCAGGATAAAAGATCCCATGCTGTTATCTTTCTGAATATAATTAGAAAATTTAGATCTAAAGTGGCATTACATTGTCTATAGAACAGGAGGTAGATAAGTCGCAACTATTATTCCAGCATTTAAAGATCTGTTAAGTGATTTTTACTAAGTACCACTTGCAAGCAGCACCAACGTAAACCATATAAGACCTCACATTTTTTTTAACAGCTCTGCTGTGGGCATTTCTGTAACAGTTAATCTGCTGTGGGCTCCATAGGTATTATGATCCAGATAAACACAAAATGAGTTACTGCCCTATACATTCATTGCTTTACTGATTCACTGATGTAGAAGAAGAAGAGTTTAGCCAACACCACTTTCTCAGTGTAGTTTTTAAATAAGGCATTTTCCCTTTTGACTGTAGCTAGTCCCATAGTATAAACACCCAGTGCAAACAAGTATTAAGAACAGCCAGTTGATCAGATCATTTGGTGGCTCAATATCCCTTTGATTTATTCCCAGAAAATATAACAATACAATTTCTACTTCTCTTTTATCTATTTTGGTAATAGTTAAAGTATTATCTTACAGACTTAATAAAACAGAAGGATTCTGAACTTAGCCATGAAACCTTTATAGGGATGACCGAGGGTCTTTACAGAGTTATAATGTAATGGCTGTTTCAGGGAACGTAAAATTTTCCTACAAAACTTTTGGCTCTAGGGAAGTAGCATCTTAAAATCCCTTCTCAGATTACAAACTGGAGACCCAATCCTGTAATCTGTTACTTTCTGCTGTACCCATCCTCAATGTAATGCTGAATCAGAGGCTAAAAACACTGAGTTTACCTGGTGCTCAGCATTTCCTTACCACTGACATACTGCAGAACTCTTGAGCCCTCAGACTTTGGAATTTATTTTTTTTGTCTACTACAACTTCCTATATTCACTACAGAAATTATTAGTGAAAGTTAAATATTGACATCCTAAAGGAAAAGCCATGCAGAAGGCTGAATAAACCTGAATCTTAACTTGCCATGATGTGTGTTCATTTCAAAAAGGCTATTTTTGGACATCAGTAACTTGATGTTGATGCCAAAGATAATGTGTTACTGAACACTGAATATCTACAGCCCAAAGCAGTCTGCATATGAAGGTATCCTACCTATACTTCTTCAATTTCCCTAGCAAGTTTCTTATGCAATATCTAATTTAAAAGCTCTTCCAGGAATTCCACAGAATTAATAACTTGACTAAATTAATGACAGTATTATAAATAACTATATCATTCATTTACATTACTATTCATCTTTAAAATTTACTGATGCCCAAGTGAAAACTCAAAATTCTGCTTAAGTATCTCTCTGAAGAAGAACATTTAGAAATGACTTTGCACGAAAGAGGGATATTTTTCTTAAGAATTGCTTTTCTCCTGCTGCTCATTCTGCTAACTACCTTCTCTAATTAGATATTGGCATGGCCCCAATTTTAAAAGGGGGACTGGCATGACATTGCTATTTGAGGCAGAGTTCAGATCTGTGTTGTCTCATCAGCACTTTGTCAGACTCATTAAGCCCTCTTGAATCTTTATATGGCTCTGGGGATTACAAAAGCCATGTACCTTGTAATTAAAACCTGTAATTGTACTGGCAAAATGAAAACTATCTAATTTTCAAAAATAAAATACACTACATATTTGGCATCTCAAGCATTTTATTAATAATTTTGGTATTTATTAAATCCAATTATTGCTTCATTATAAAATTAGAGCATAATAAAAATGCATGATTTTCTGAACTGATTCATGGGACAACTGATGCAGTGTAAATCAACTACTGTTTGAAGACAGATTCTCTCCGCACTGCATTTCTGCTTTGACAGTCACTTTACTAGCAAGTGAGTTCAGAGTTCAATACTGCAGCCTGTTGAACGCTGTTTAAAATTGGTGCTCTGGATCCCTGCACTACTGCTGAGGCCCAGTAATTGCTTGAAGCTTGTGCAAAGCTGTTTACACAGCAGTGTGAAAAAAATGGTCACAGTAATGCAAGCAAGCCTCCGTGCATACAGTGAAAGGAACACTGTAGGGAGGTATGGAAGGCTGCAACTGGAGTATAGGCAGAGAAGACGGAGTAGGGCCAATGTAAAATTTAAGTAATGCCCAATCAATGCAAGCAATGCATGTAGTGGCTGACAGTAGGATTTCCAGTGATCCTATTATACACTAGAAGCCATCTGACTCAGTATGCAGAAAGACTGTATTTAAGAAAGAAAACTAAAGTACTCAGGAAGGCAGTGCACTGATAGAAATGTCTAGGGGCTCATTGAAAATAGTATCCCTCAGGCCATGCTATTCCTCTTTGCCGTCTAAGAGCAAGGCCGTGTATAGGTTTGCTTATATGAAGATGATAAGAGGGGTCAGTTTATATGGCTACTGAAGGAGTCAGATTCACTGCCTTGCTTGTGACCTTGAGTTTGATTCCTAACTTGTACAGCTACGTAAGTATCAAGTTCATTCTCTTACATCTAAAATAAAAGCTATGATACAGCAAGATCCCAACAGACAGAAAACAGCGATAAAGTCTACTACCAATGCATTTACTCAGAGCCTGCTTTAATCTCAATAGAGACACTTTCCACACCTAAATCAAATTCCAAGAAATTCAATGTGGTTTAATCAATTATGCCTCAGAACTCCCCTGGGATATAGTTAATAACTCTCTGGCTGGGATTACTAGTTGAGCAATAGAAAGATTATATGACTTGCCTAGTTTAAAGAAGTTCATGACAGTCAGAACTAGAATCCAGATCTCTTATTTCTCAGTGCTGTTGTTTGGCCCATGACTCAGTGCCCTATAGCAGCATTTCCCAACCTGTTTCAGCCCACAGCACACTTACCTAAATAAAGCACCGCGGCACACCAGCGGGGGTGGTGCACGGCCAACTGGACAGCATTTTGGACTGGAGCCATAACCCCTACCTGGCTGGAGCCACGCTCCCCATCTGTCTGTGTCCTCAGCAGCAGCAGGCAGTGGGGCGTGGCTCCAGCCCAAAATGCTGTGGCACACACCGGTTGGGAAAAGCTACCCTATAATTTATACCTGGCATTTTGAATACTTTATACTTAATTCCCCAAACACTTTTTGCTTATACCAAGAAAAATGTCAGGTGCATTTTAAGGACTAGCAAACATATTCTGTATCAGTTTGAGTAGAAAAAGCAAAATACAACTTTGTTTTTTGCTGAGCTTCAGAACACTAATCAGAACGTAGCAAAAGCTGGTCTGTTTCCCAGCTGAGACCCCGACAGCAAGGACACAAAGACCTAAGAGGAAGTTGTGAAAATGTTCTTCTGAGTTTCCTAACTTTTGAGTCTGTGTACAGGCTGCAAAGTATAAGCTACAACAAAGAACACGTTTCATCATTTGTAAACAACTAGGTTGATCCCAAGAGCTTGACTAATGCTATGTTACCATGCTGTGTCCTCTGCCATAATTGACCATTCCTCCAGGACTGGATTACACAGCTTTACATTTTCCTGATTAAGGATTATAATAAATTAGCTAATTGGGCTTTTTTATTTCAGTATCAAGGCTTTCTTAAAGGCAACAAGCAGTTAAATCACAGAGAATGCATAATGTATCACTATAAAGAACTCAATCAACTGTTCTATCTGAGCCTGGTAAGGACCATCTTGCTAGCACAAGGAGGCATATCTCCCAGAATAAAAGGTCGATGCCTCATGCAAATGTTTTAAAACCTGAGTCACTTGATGCTTGTAGAACAGAATACTTACCAGAATATCTTCTAGTTTCATATCTAGCAGATCTGTGCCTGTAATGTACTTTTTCCAGTCTTCTTGGTCTTGTCCTTCTTCCCCCACATTATCTAGGATCAGTTCAAAGAAAATCACCTTTTCTGAAATGGTACTGAATGTGTTGTCAAAGCAGAACATGTAATCTCCATCTTCTGCTTCCACGCTGAATATAAGCAAATACAATTAAACACAACATTATATTTTTAATATTGACTCTAAAGTTACATTTTAAACACAGTTCTTTACATCACTTGGTCATGTGATTACAGATAAATAAATACACTATAAAATATAAATGAAAAGCTAGGACATGCTACAGAATGGAATTACTACAACATCTACATTGTTTTCTTAAAAACATATGCTCCTGCTAGGTTGAAATCTGATCTTGAGGAACAGTGGTTTCCTTGAACTTTTTTAAATTCAAGATTTGAAAGATAATTGTGTGCAATCAGAACTTTTTAAGTACAAGCTGACTGTTGTCTTGTATTTCTGTTTTACCATAGCTGTATAACAGCTGTAAAAAGGAGCTGGCTGTAAAAAGGAGCACTCTCATCTTCACAAATAGATCCTGCTTCACTCAAGCCAATGGGAAAGTATAATTTTATTGTACTATTTAGAAAACATATATACAAACTTGTAGAGAAGAATCAGATTGACAAGCCAAGCCCACAACTCCTTGAAATGGTTATAGGTTACTGAAAAGTTTATTTTCTCTATTAAAGAAAGAACCTTTATGAACTCCACAAAAGTTCTTTTGATCTCTGCATTGCTTTTGATGGCTAATGAACAGTAGGTGTGCACCGGCAGAGATTTTTTGGGCCGATACTGATGGCTGATTTTTCATGAGCCATATCGGCCAGTCTGATTGCTGATATGCGGCCCGGCAGCATAGAGAGCACGTTTGGCTGGTACGTCTGTTGTGGGGGAAGGGAAAAGGGGGGAGGGAAGGAATATGGGGGAGCAGATAGAGGCCCCTGTGGTGAGGGAGGGAGTGGAGCTGGGGCAGGCACTGCACGGATGAGGCAGGGTGTGGGACAGATCTACGGCTCATCCTGGAGGTTGGGGGGTGGCTCTCACTACTGCACGCACCCCAGGAGGGCATGGGGGATGCATGGGTCCTCTGGATCTGTACATGAGGTGAGGGCAGGCTGCTGTTGCAGGCTGGGGACAGGGGCAATACTGGGCTCTTTCTGGCAGAGGGACTGGGCCAGGCTGCACTCAAGGCGGGTGGCAGCAGTGCTGCTACAGGGAGAGCTACAGAGAATGTTGGGGTGGCTGTAGCCCACCCTGTAGCTCCTTTCCTAGCACTGCCACCACCTATCTTGAACACAGCCCAAGCTCAGCTCCCTGTTGGGAAGAGACCAGCATTGCCCCTGGGCCCAGCCTGCAATGGCAGCCTGCCTTAGCCCTGTGCATAGATCTGGGGGGCACACATCCCAACCCCACCCCCGACATCTGTGGGTAGTCCCTGCTTGTTGCCACCATGCTCCTGCCAACACTGTTCCCGCTGCCTATGGGTGGTTGCTGCGCCCGTCCCAGCCTCAGGAGGCATGAGGTGTTCATGAACTGACTTACCAGCCAGACACTGCTCTCCACACTGCCGGGCTGAGCTCCTGGCTGCTTGCATGCTGCACTGCAGCTGCGCACATGTACACGACATTTATTGGTGACATTATTGACCACAGCAACCAAAAAAAGCTGACTGCTGATAATGTCAATTTTCCTTTTATCAGTGCCAATATCATACAGGACCAGTGTATCGATGCACCTCTAGTGAACAGATGAGCATCATACCAGGACAAATATTTATGAGCTCAAGCTGCTCTGTAAAGAAGTCCATATTATATCAAAACAAACAAACAAACATTCTGAAATACAGAAGCACCTTATTTATCAAACATTTTCTAGCAATCACTGACTAGCCTTTAAATTTAACTTTCAAAGAATGATTTAAGCTGCCTGATGTTCACCAAAGCCAGGTTTTATGAATATTAAAAACAGCCATGATTTCAAAGTCCTAACTTAATTTTTTGAAAATGTATTTGAATAAATAATATTAGTGGTGTATATGACAAGAAGGTTTAAGTTTAGAGATTTAAAACTCACGTATGGACTCCATCAGATTTTCTCTGATCAAAAATGAGGGTGACACCTTTTGGAGATTGTAGGTGAAAGTCAATATCTAATCCTGCTCCATCTAGAACCTGTAAAGCCAAAAAAAATAAATAAAAGTCCACTCCTGTTGAGCTATTAAAAGAAACAATTAAAATACTACTAGTAATACTAATAATTAGTAGTAGTATTATCCATGCATCAGTTTCTTAAGAACAAATACATCTAACCTAAAATTTAAACCAAGTTAGCCAAATTCAGGTTTAAAAGCAGTTCTTCCAAGAGAGGCTCTAATGCTCTTTCAAATTCCAGTATAGCCATTGAACTATCCATGATACGTTAAGGAAACATATAACATCCTGCTCCTTCTGAAGTCAATGACAACTCTTACACTGACTTTAATTGGTGCAAGACTGGGAGTTTATGAAAAAGAAGAGGGAAGAAAATAATTAGACAAATGCTGACCAAAATGAAGAGATCACTAGCAACCTAACTTTGAAGCTGCCATATAATCTGAGTGTGCTGGATCAGAATTCAGATGTCATAGCATACATTGTTGACTTGTCACTGGCAAATTTGAACCAACCATAGGTAAAATTCTCCTTGTACTTAGTCATCGTGACTTGTGAATGGCTAAGCAGGAAAAAAAGTGTTTAAATGTACAACCATAACTTGAATCCTTTTCACTTAACACAATTAAAATTAAAGATATAACAAACAAAAAAACCCCAGCAACTCATCAGGACTACTGCAGGACTCATATGACATGGATATCTGATAGGGTCAAATGTCTTCTAAAAGTCAAATGATTCGTTTCCTTTCCAATGTATTTAAAAGGTATGCTTTAATTTTCTTGCATACAGCGCACATCTTTTTTTCTCCAAGAAACAGCTGCCAGAAATTGGAGTGCATATTGGACGCCAGAAATATAGCAAGAGCAGTTTCTGCTGCTTGATCCACTGGGAGCAGAACAATGAGTAGACTTGGTTCACTAGCTCCTACTAACTACTCAGTTATGGGCAATTATACACATGCTCTGGGAGGCGGGGGAGAGGGGTGCTTTAATTAGAGTGGCTCTGAGAGCTGCTCTAATTAAAGTGCCCGGAGGTCATGTTTATCGGCATCCCCATGCTGCAAATGGTGGCAGGGGGTGCTATAACTACAACAAGCTTTAGTTAAAACGTCCCTGCTGCCATTTTTCAGCCTGGGGACACTGACACATGGGACACTGGAGTCTGCTGGAACATGGTATTTACAGCATGTCTGAGCAGCCTCTATGTACGTGTACAGGTGCCCTTTGTTCTTCATTCTACCTTTCAAAAACAAGGTGCATATCTTACTCTGGTGCACACTGTATGTGAGAAAATATGCCTCTGTCTACTTTTTTTATATGTTGAAAGTGAATGTAAAAATAAAGTGCTCAAGAACTTGCTGCAGACAGAAGTGGAGCTCCCAGCTGTAACTCGGAATGATTTCTGCAAAGCCTTCTGGATTACAATGTTACCCCAGACCAAACAGAAGTTCGCTGTTGGTTCCGGAGGGGAGGGGAATCTAGCTGGGGCTGGGAGCTGGCACCATAGCAATGTGGCAGTGCTTGATATTTTCAGAAGTGGGGTGGGGGGAAGGCAGCAGAGGGAGCTCATTCTTGGTGCCAAATGGTGAGGTGGGTGAACTGGAGCCCCTCCACTTGGGAAGGCTCCAATATACCTGCTCCAGCCTGGGGGCGGACAGACTGAATTCCCTCTGCTCCCTTTCCCCCCCTCCCATTCTGAAAACAGCCACAGGCTGGGAGCTCCACAGACACAAGTTACAGCAGATGCTACATTTTGAAATGCCCTTTATCTGATACCTCATGGAATGAGGGGTGAGAATTTCACCCTCTTGACCATTTTTTAAACTGTTTGCAGTCATGCAGTTGTGCTTGGTCACAGCTATACACTGTTTTGTGTGGCCAGATCAGGTGAAAATTGTCACTTCTGTCCAGGCTGCAGGGAGCTCTGCCCACATGGTGGCTCGGAGAAATGGCAGCAGTGTGGGACAGGGTATGGAAAGAGGATGAACCAGGGAGTGGTGCAGGCTGGGATTGGAAACAGACCCTGCTCAGTGCTACGCTCTGTTGGTAGGCCACCATCCCTGCCACTGGTGGCCTACCAAAACCACATATGAAATGTGCTGAAAACATGGGCCGGATGCAGGGACAGAAGGCAGGAAAGAAATGAAGAAGTATCAGCCCTTGTATTTCCTTTACTATTTAAAAATCAAGTCACTTTGAAACCTATTGAAGCAAAAAATGAAAGCCCAATTTTGGCAGCAGGGCTCCTATCCACCCACCCTGCCAATTTTTCTGCTTTAAATTTTATTTCCTTTATTTTTTTTTAAACACCTCTCCCCACGGAGCATGGCTGTATGAGATGCTTAATACACAGAAGCGTGGCTTGCAAAAAAACCTTAACACACAGCAGACCATCTAATGTGCGCTGTCACAAAAAAGCATTCATCTGCACTCAGGCGCAGCCGTGCCAGGGCAGCGCACCGGGGACAGCCCTGGCAGAGGGCTCCAGGCCGTGACCTGCGACCACTCGTGTAAACTTGGTCCCCGACTGGAGGGGGCGGCAGGGAGACGCGCTGGCTGTACAAGCCCTGTCCAAGGCGAAGCAAGCGAGCTGGGAAGTGGCAGGGAGAAGAGGAGGCAGGAGTCCTCCCGCCTGGGATAAGTGACAGCCACGACGACCTGCGAGGCGC